GCTGTGCAGTTTGTAGAGTCAGTGTTAGTCCACCAGCTGGATTGGGTCCAGCCCGGCAGAATCCACTGGTACATTTGGCCATACATGCTGAGATTATACACCTGTGACACAAAAGCATGTTTATGGTTTATGCTGTATTAAGGTGTGGTGCTAACTGCAGTGCTAAAAAGCTTACTCATTTCCATGTTTTCGCCTACGAAAAAATGCATCATCCCTGCAGCACTCTATAAGCTAAAGAGCCTTTTCCCACAGTAAAGTACCTTTTGTGCAACGGAAAGGTTCTATGGATGTTAATGGTTCTTCATGGAACCATCTGTGCCAATTAAAGAATAAGTGCTGGGACATACTTACACAGCAGAAGACTTTAGCAGCTACACTCACATCAAAATGAGCTATCGCTACTCTCACATCGTCCTGTTAAAAAAATTGTCAAGGATGATAAATATCTACAGATAAACATACATTATGCACTGTGATCTGTGGATGTGCATTATAAAAACAACGTTTAGCTTTCATGCAACTCTGTAGTGATGCACTTTAGTATAAATATTAAGCCTTGAAAAGTTCTTTATTGATTTATAGAATGTGTGTGAGGAAACCAGACTATTGTATACAGGCCTTCAGTTTTTTCATACTATCACAAGGGTCTTCAAAGAAGATCTCTGACTTTGCAAGCTGGATGTTAGCCGCCTCCAGATGTCTGCTTAAGTCTCTCTGTATGTTTTTGAGAGAAGATACATTCTATCGAGCTCCATATACTTAATCATATTGTCCCTAATTAGGATTACCTCTGTGAACCTGAGCTCACGCTGAGGCAGTGTACCAACTCTACTCCATCCATACTGCCTGAGAAACCTCACCAGCGCCACATTAACTGCACTGTCTGATGGCACAGTACAGAAGAAGTTTGGAAATCTTCTTTTGTTGGCCAGTGAAGGTGCGGTTACTGCAAATGACAGCTGAGAAATGCAGAAATAGTTGCGAAAACAAATAAAACCAAGTCTCTCAAGAATTTCCTTGAGTTGACCAATACAAATACCATGGAAGTGGCGATAATCATTCTGACTGATTGAGTCCCTGCACAAGGTTCCAACCTTCCAGAGACTGGGCTAAGATGTCACTGACGAACACACCCCTCCAAAGATGTGTAACCATGTGATTACCATGTACAATTTACAACAATACTACAAATATGAAATAAAAGGTTATCAGGCTTATTCCATTAACAGACAAAGTTTTATATATGCCATTAGATCACTGTTACTCAAAAAGTTTAAGAAATTTTGCAAAGTTAGCAGAAAATACAACTTAGTTTGTAATATATTTAGTTTAGTCTCTATGAGACTAAAAGATTAGAAACAAATATATAAATAAACAGAGAGACTTTGAATTTTTTTTTCTTTTCAACAGTAGCATTAGCTTTAGCAACACTGGTAGGTTAGGGCTCTTTCATTTATAAACAGAAATCTAACTGCTGTAGTGTGACACTGCCACAGTAAAGCCTGTATGATGCTCACTAGGGATAAAGATTTAAAAAAGGTCCTTCGTTCATCTTCAGAACACAAATTGCAGTTAAGATATTTTTGATGAAATCCAAGAGCTTTTTTAACCTGCATAGACAGCAATGCAACTGCAACCTTCCCAGCCCCAGAAAGGTAGTAAGAACATTGTTAAAATAGTCCATGTGACATCAGTGGTTCAACCACAATTTTATGAAGCTACGAGAATACTTTTTGTGTGCAAAGAAAACTAAAATAGCAACTTTATTCAACCATTTCTTCTCTTCTGTGTCTGCCTTCGACGCGTGTTCCCGACAGTACCACGAAGCATGCGTGTGGTGCTGCTGATGCAGGAGCCACCTTTTTGATGTAGAACACGGATGCACTGTGCCTTGTTTACAAGCAGAAGAAGACGCACGCCATACATGAAACAGTCTTCGTAAGATTTCAACAGAGAGGATGATTTGCTATTTTTTGCCCAGCCTTTTTCATTTGAACCAGAATATAGCAGGTGATGAACTAAGAGAGATGGACATTTTACATCAGAACAGCAGCACCACAGGCATGTGTTGTGGTATTCTCGTGAAAGTGCGGCAAAGACTGACACGGAAGAGAAGAAATTGTTGAATAAAGTTGTTATTTTTCTTTTCTTTGTGTACAAAAAGTATTCTTGTAGCTTCATAAAATATGATTGAACCACTGATGTCACAGGGACTATTTTAACGATGTCCTTACTACGTTTCCGGACCTTGAATATGGTAGTTCCCTTGCTATCTATGCAGGGTCAGGAAGCTCTCGGAATTCATCAAAAAGATCTTAATTTGTGTTCTGAAGATGAACGAAAGTCTTATGGGTTTGGAACGACTTGAGGGTGAGTAATTAAAGACCAAATATTTATTTTTGTGTGAACTATCCCTTTAAGTCCAAAGCAATGGTCCAAAATGATCTCTGAGACATTTGAGCTGTTTTATAAGTGCACGCTCTGGACTGGGATATACATTTTTTCTGACTATATTCTGAGGACCTTTTTTCAGCTTTTTTTTTTTTTTTGGTGGGGGCCTTGAACCAGCAGATAATACCTTTTCTCATTTTTTCATCTGGATTTTCGGTTTGCTGCCTTTCTCAAAGCAGAAAAGGACTAAGTCAACAGACTGATGAGTATTATCTTTATCATTACTTTTTATTTCTATGGACTAAGGGGCTGGTGTGTTGTGACCAGTGAGCCTATTTATGGACTTTTATTATTTGGACTATTTCATTTGAGTTTATAAAAGGGTCAACAGTTTGTGTTCTGTTTGATATTACTGTCTAACAAATGAGTAAAAGGCAGCAATACAACCAAACTCTCCCTGTGATAATGATTCAACCCTTTCGTAAAGAGTTGTAGTTATAATTATAAAGTATAAAGTAATAATTAATCATTAGTATACCGGTGAGTGGTGCAGGTGACGCTCATTATCAATTACTCCACCGGCCTCGCTCCGTTCCCACGGGTCTCGGCCCCGCCCCACTCGTCAAACTGAGCAAAAATTTACTTTAAGTGGTTGAAAATAGTGAAATAACATGAATGAAAATCAGTGTTCCTTCACATGTTTAGAATGGCTCATTGCAGTAATACTTGATGACTGAATGATACTCATTGTTTGATCCATTGATAAACTGAACACCTTTAGCAGGGGTTTTGGATCATCATAGCCACTAGTGGCAAAGAAAAAAGAGCAGAGATAATTAAGCAAGGTAAACTAAATGTTAGAATTTAAAAAATGGGCATAACACACTGATGTTGTATCATATCATGGCAGAATCCAGTTCTAGACATTTGAAGGCCCTAGGACAAATTTGTGTTGGAGCCCCCCCTGCACCGTTCCTCCCCTCCACCTTTCAGGTAAATAAAAACACTTGAAGCAAATATGATTACTAACCTTTCTATTTGTATATTTTACTAGCATTGGTGGATTTTTCCATATTAATTAAGCTTTAACTAGGGTAAACACTATAAAACTCCTATTTCTTGTCTCTCTCTTTGCACTGTTGTTCTTCCAACTCACCATGGTCTGATGATGAAATGATTTTCACATCAGTTTGAAGCAAAAACTCTAGGCTACAAGATCCAGTTCTCAAAAGTCTTGTGAACAAATGTTCTGTATGTGTTTTATGGCGTTATTTCAGTGACCTTAAAAATTTCGTTTTTCACTAACCACGCATAAATGTTGCTTTCCCAAAAACACAATCATGTACATACATGCTGCTCACATATTATTGTAGTGCAGTTTATGCTGATTACAGTGTTATTAGATTTTAGCCATTTATATGTTTATAAGCAACTGAAAAAGCACAAATGTCTGGGCATGTCAAAACTTCTCCAGGGCCCCAAAACCCCCTCAGACCCCAGAGGGTTCAAAACTGATACATCACTGATTAGAAGATAATGACATTAGATAAGCTACACTGGTTTGTACAGTAAGTCGTGACAGCATATTTTTTAAGTTAAGTTAGTTTATTACAATTTAATTAGCAAATACTCATAGAACCACAACTAAAAATTAAGTCAGCCAGGATTTTTTTCCCCATTTGCAGTAATTTTTTCAGTAATTTATTTACAGTAACATCCACCCACTATTTGGGATAACAAAAAGTTTTGCCTACTCTATACAGTTAAATGGGGGAAATGAACTTCAGCTTTTATATAGATTGTTCAGTGACTCTTTTTGCATGTTACATTGTTGCGGCAGTAGGTGGCGTTTTTTCAGTCTTTATAATTTACTCAACAGATTCACTTTATGAGTGAGTCACTAAACTGATTCATTCAAAAACACTGATTCCTTCAGGAACTGAATGCTCACCAGCAGCCTGGAAGGATGCAGTAAATCCTGTGTGTGATTTAGGGTATGAATCATCATTTAGAAAAAAGAGAGACGGTTACCAGACACCACGATGGGCTTGTGACCTGGGTGAAAACTGTCTGTGGAATTCTGGCCACAAAACTTCCCCATAACCTTCTCATCAGACACAAGCTGAATGCAAAATAAAATGACATCAGACTGTATATTACTGTTGCTCAAATGACTGTGCAGTTCAAATGAGCTAAAAGCCAGTTAAAAGGCAATACAAATCTTTAGATTTTACAGTATTTTGAAGTGAGGAAACACTTAAAAAGGAAAGCCATAGCAGACACAGCTTTTTCACAAAAATTATAAAGAAGGTAAAAGGTGTTTCCGTAGTTTTTCCATGGCTATGCTTGTGGTGCCTCTCTAATGACAGAGCAAGGGTCTAGCAGTAATGTTAAAAGACAGATTTGTTTGATTTGGCTGTGCTACAAAATCAGTGAAAGCTAAATATTTGTGATAGAGAGACTTTTTAGGCCAGAGGGAAAAGTTAAAGTCTGCAGACACAATTTTAGGCAGTACTTCTATAGTGTAGGTCTAAATTGTGGTTTGTTTACAATATGTGCTACCCTTTTCATAGAAAAGAAATAAATAGAAATGGTCAGTGAGAGGTTCATTTTTTATTAGATTTTTTTTGTCTTTCAGGGGACAAAATCATCTTGCAAAGCGGATGTTAATTATTTGTCATTGTTTCTTCAATCCAGCCCAGGTAGTTCTGCACTTTAGTGTAGTAAGCTTTAGAAACTTGACCACATCTTACAGGACCCCATGACACAATGCCCCTCACCTCGTAGCGCTGCTCTTTAGTTCCATGGCCCAACATGGGGAAGAACAGAGGACCCCCACTGTCACCTTGACAACTGTCAACATGTTTAACATCATCTCCAGCACAGAACATGTTATCAGTGACAGGCAGGTCCTCGAAAACACACTGTTTAGAAGAATATTCCTGAATATGCCCATATTGTAAAATTTCACTTGTTAAGCCCTCTTTAAACCCTCCAAAGCCTGATACTGTTCCCATTGTACCCTCCATTACAGATTCACGAGTTTTGTTTGGCAGACACACTGGCCTGATGTTTGGACCGAGAGGCACTCTAGCAGACATTTTGATCAGTGCAATATCATTATCATAGTTTGTTTGATGACCCCTGAAAGAAACCTTCTGATAATTTGGGTGAATTATAATCTTCTCTGCCTCCATCATGACTGGGTTTTTGTTCCTAGCATTAATTATTCCACCAAGCCAAGTCATGTTAATGTTTTCAAGTCCATCTACCACATGAGCAGCTGTAAGAGCCCAGTAATCACTGATCAGAGATGCACCACCTCTGGTATGAGTCTTATGGAGAAGCTGCCAGGGAATCTGTCCTGGTCTGGCTGGCATCCCACCAAAGACTCTGCCACCAACACTGAGTTCTGTGTTCATTCCACACTCTAAAAAGTTTAAAAAAGAAACAAACACATGAACATATGTGTAATGTAAACTAAAGTGGTAACACTTTAAAATAAGGTTCATTAGTTAACATTAGTTAACTACTTTAGTTAACATGAACTAAGTATGAACAATACTTCTACAGCATTTATTAATCTTAGTTAATGTTAATTTCAACAGTTACTACTGCATTATTAAAATCAAAGGTTGTGCTTGTTAACATTAGTTAATGCGCTGTGAATTAACATGAACTAACTATGAACAACTGTATTTTCATTAACTAACATTAACAAAGATTAATAAATACTGTAATAAATGTATTTTTCATTGTTTGTTCATGTTAGTTAATACATTAACTAACATTAACTAATGGAACCTTATTGTAAAGTGTTACCAATAAAGTTAAATAATAATAGTGCAAATGCACAAAATAATAATAATAATAATAATAAAATCTCTCTTTATCTGTCTGTTTGTCAAGCCACAATTATTACCAGGATAACAAGGTGGAATAATATCATTGTTGTTGACTTCTGTCCATTTTCTTTCAACTGCACACCTGTATGTTACTACACAAGTGAAAGAAAGAAAGGAAATTAGGTCATGATTCATCAATCACAAAGAACAACGGTGGGTTTTGTACAGTATCTGACCTTTGGCGGTATCCTTAAATCTGTAGTATGGCTCATTGCAGTGATACTCTATGACCGAAAGATATTCATTGTTTTCTCCACTGATAAACTGAAAGTCTCCATTCAACAGCAGCTTTGGAGCTCCACAGTCAATAACTGTAATGTGGATGATACATAGGAATGAAATGATGAATGGATACAGTGTAGTCCAATGCAAAATCAGGTGATGAGTATTTACTCACTCTTGCACTCTGGCAGTGTCAAATGCCATTTTCCATTACTCTGACATATGGACTTAAAACTTGAAATCTCCTTCTCTCCCTTTAAGAAGGCAAAGGTAAATGCTTTATGAAATCATCACCATATTTCCCCATCGAATCCTTGTCTATAATCATTAATGCACTCTTAGGGGCTGTTCACACACAATTCATTTTTGTGTTCCACTGACCTGCTTTTCTATGGATTTTCTATGCAAACATGCGCTTTACTGTTGCGCTTATGTATTGTATCTATCTTTTGCAGCATCTCACACATGACACAATGTTCTAAAAATGATCAGCTTTTTTTAATATGTGTCTTTCATTCCACTGCCCCTTGTCTCGCATTTTTAACCACAAAAACACTTCTTTGTGAATGGCCCCTTAAAGTTATTGCTTTACTATCAGCATTATTGTATACCTCACCATCATGAGCTTGTATCCTGGCTTACAGCGCACATGAATGTAGTCTCTGTACAAGTACTGCGCAAAATTTGGTGTGATTGATCCATTGCCGATAATGCCTGGATGTGGACACTGTACCCCTTTAAAAAAGATGTGAGGAAATTGGACTAATTAGCTCCACAGATATTTGAGAATTTATAATATTAGTGTTCCCCCCCCCCCCCCCCCCGCCCCACCCCCCCCGGAGCCACAATAGCACGAGCACTGCTCTTTTCTCCCCACGCGCACCTTTTCCCGCCCTCTTTCTTTGCAATTAAGATCGAATGTTGATGTGTGTATTTGAAGCACTTTATTTATTTATCTCCATTTCAGATTGTTCATATTAATCTGGATGAAATGACACTATTCTGCCAAAAAAAAAAAACAGTTTTCTCTCTCACTCTGTGTGGTGTAATGTAAGCTCCACCCCTGACTCTGTCCGTATCTGTCAGTGTGATACTCCAGCTGGACAAAGTGAGCGCCTGTATTCAGGACTTCGGGGCTTTTTCTGCCACAGTACTTTTGGGGCTTTTTTCCTTGGACAGACACCTGAGAAAGAATGAAAAGTAGATAAACATACATATACATATACATATACAAATATGAAGATATTTCATGAAGATATATAACATATAGCAAAGCATACTTGCAGCCAATGGAAGAGGCATGTCTGTCCTTGATTGTAGACCTGCTCTATGTGGAAGTTCTGGCTGAAGTTGAGAGTGATCATGAAGCCTGGCTGCACAGAGATGGTGTAGACGCAGTCCAGATCAAGAGGGGACATGTCTGGGAACCCAGGACTCGAGATGGTCCCCTCTAATTCACTGTGCACCCCACCTCCACACTCCACTAACACAGGGAAGAAACACATACCACTTGCTACAGGTTATCTTTTCGCCTGTATGTAAAGCTAGATTATGGTTTATATGGTGTTTTTTTTTAAGTATATTTATATACTATGACAGTTTTTGTTAACATTTTGTAGATTTTTTTGTTGTAATTTTGTTTACTATTGTCTTTCATTCAATATTTGTATTTTATTTTATTTCAGCTTTATTTCAGTTAATACAAATGTTTTTAATAGTTTTCGTTTTAGTTAATGATAACCCTGGTTTATTGTTTATATATTACATTATTTGTATACCTATATTGTTTTCTTTATACTATTATTTTGATGACCATTCATTAGAATGCAATGATTAAATGTAAATAGAAATTGCAAATAAACTATTAAAAATCACAATTTAAAAAATGTTTAAGCATTTAGAAAAAATTCCAGAAAAATGGTAAAACATCTTTTAGAAAATTAAAACTGTGTTTAGAACCACTAACGTCCATCAAATAAGCAGTGTGCTGGAAATGTAAACATCACAGCGCCTGGGGATTTATTAATGAACACACTCACAGACACAGGTGCGTTGGTCGGCCCGTAACATGTAACCATGGTGACAGGCACACAGGTAGGAGCCAAGAGTGTTGAGGCATATCTGTGAACATGGTGCGTTTTCCACACTGGAAGAGGAACACTCATCTATGTCTAAGGGAACAGGTATAGAAGCATTAAATGATGCACACAAAAAGTTATGGCGTTACTACACCACTGAATTATTTAATTATGTTTAATTAAATAACATACAACACAAGCAACAGTACTGTTGTTCCAATATTCAGCATATTGCTTTTATACAACAAGAAATAAATATTTATCAAATTTCAGACACAATATTTTAGACCAGTTAGTGTGTCTATTTTTGTTGTGGCAATGAAAATAGTTTCAAACAAAGCCAACGATGAATTGACCATTCCGTGTCACAGAGCAACACACCATACTTGAATCAGTGTTTTTAAATGAAATGGTTGAGCGAATGATTCAATGACTCACTTATAAAGACAGACAGTCACTTGTCTGCACCAACTATGATGTATCAATGTATACTGTAGATAGTTTCAGTTTCTATCCTAAGTTGTGAATTTATCTTATTAAATTTAACTTACAGAAAATTGCAATATTGCATTAAAGAACTGAGAATATAGCACATTTCCATCCCACGTGTCCAAGAGAAGAAAACGGTCATTTCCTGTGAAATTGGCACAAAAAAATGTATTGGTGCCTTAGATGCCTGATGTTTGGGAACGCAATTTATTTGGTTTTGTGCATATCTTCTTATTGAATAAAAAAAAAACATAACTGCATGCCGTAACATTTATATTCGCCCATTTCCCCCCCTCTGTATCCCAAAATTTCCATTAAAATTTGTGGATGGAAAAACAACTACAATCAAATACACAATATAATACAATACTAATCAATATTGTAATGTGCTTCAAATATGTATATAACTCACCAACAGCCTGATAGAATGCGGTGAATCCCAAGTGTGACTGGTGATTTGAGTTATCTGTTAGAAAAACCAGCTGCAGACGATGGATTACCTTTGAAATTAGTGTAATGTTGTTAACATTAGACAAAAATGACCTTGCCAGAACATTTGATATAAAATAGAAAATAAGATGCTGAAAATCTTTACATGTGAAAATGGTTTTATTGGTGAGTATAAAAGAACTTAATATAAAAGTTTCAAAATTCTGAATTATTCATAGAAATAGCAGATGCATATACATAGATCATCAGATACAGCAAAGAGTAACTTCATTACAGTTAACAATTGGTGTAGGCTGGATTACCTTTGAAATTAGTGTAATGTTGTTAACATTAGACAAAAATGGCCTTGCCAGAACATTTGATATAAAATAGAAAATAAGATGCTGAAAATCTTTACATGTGAAAATGGTTTTATTGGTGAGTATAAAAGAACGTAATATAAAAGTTTCAAAATTCTGAATTATTCATAGAAATAGCAGAGGCGTATACATAGATCATCAGATACAGCAAAGAGTAACTTCATTACAGTTAACAATTGGTGTAGGTGTATATTATTTTAGCGCTTTGATGTTAGTTTTTTTCTATGGTTTCCTTGATCCAATCCAGGTAGTTTTGGACTTTAGTATAGTAGCCCTTAACGCTTTTATTCCCACATCCAATAGGACCCCATGAAACAATGCCTGTAAGATGATAAGGCTTGTCTGGAGACCCATAGCCCAGAAAAGGAGAAAACAAAGGACCTCCACTGTCACCTTGACAACTGTCTACTTCGTCTCCTCCAGCGCAGATCATGTTATCGGTGACAGGCAAACCCTCTGAATCACAATTATCAAGTGGATGTATCTGGACATGTCCATAAAGCAGATATCTACTATTTTTATCTTCTTTCATTCTTCCAAAACCTGAGATTGTGCCCTCCTCCACAGGTTCATTTTTTTTCTTTGGGAGACACACTGGCCTGATGTGTGGACCTAGAGGCACCCTGGTAGACATTTTGATGAGTGCAATATCATTATCATAGTTAGATGGAGAATCTCTACCGACTCTTTGATAATTTGGGTGAATTATGATCTTCTCAGTCTCCATAGAGACTGGGTTTTGGCTTTTACCATCAACTATTCCCCCTAACCAATTCATTGTGGTTGTTTCGTATCCATCCACTACGTGAGCTGCTGTTAGAGCCCAGTAATCATTGATTAAAGATGCACCACCTCTGGGACTTTTCTTATGAAAGAGTTGCCAGGGAATCTGTTTAATTAATGCTGGCTTCCCACCAAAGACTCTTCCACCAAAAGAGGTGTCTGTATTAATTCCACACACTAAAAGAGAAAGAGAGAGAAATAAGAAATATATGAAAAAGAGATATGTAAGATAAAGTATATCTGGGTTTATACTTTATAGGTGTATTCAGAATGAATACCTGGTTCACATTTAGGCAAATCTTCTGTTAATTTTTGACCACTCTCAGACACCCAGTTACCATCAGCATTACAGGTAAAATTACCTGAGGAAAGCGAAGACAGTAAAAAATGTAGAACTAATTAGTATTTTGGTAAGAATTACATCAACATAGTTTACATAAACCATACACATCTCACCATTTTTATCCAGTTGATAAAATTCATTTTCACACTTGAGACTGATCTGGTTCAGATACGTTGTTAAAGGATCTTTTTCTGATAGCTCCATTAATTCAGGAAGCTCTGGAATGCCGCAATCCACAGCTAAGGAAGAAAACAAGTGCTTTTAAGTTTAAACGCCTTAATGATATAAATGTTTATTACAAACATGCAGCTTTTTGCTTTACAGGATGTTAATTAATGGACAGGGTTTGTGTTGATTACATGTGGATTATTGCAGTGTTTTTATCAGTTGTTTGAACTCTCATTCTGACGGCACCCATTCACTGCAGAGGATCCATTGGTGAGAGAGTGATGTAATGCTACAGTGCTTTTTTTTATGACACATGAACATTTTCAGCTTCCTGCATTTTGGATGTGTCTCCAAACCTAGTGAGCTTCCAAAAAATTTCTGGGCATTGTACTCTTGGTGTGCCCATCATGCATCCAATTGTATGCCACAAGTTTGTGCTAGGTTTTGTAACATTGCATGACATAATTTACTGTATATACACTCTTAAAAATAAAGGTGCTTCAAAAGGTTCTTCAAACGATGCCATAGAAGAACCATTTTTGGTTCCACAAAGAACCATTCAGTCAAAGGTTCTTTAAAGAACCATCTCTTTCTTATCTTTTTATAATCTGAAGAACCTTCTTTCACCACAAAGAACCTTTTGTGAAACAAAAAGGTTCTTCAGATGTTAAAGGTTCTTTATGGAACCATTTAGACAAAAAGGTTCTTCTATGGCATCGTGAAGCACCTTTATTTTTAAGAGTGTAGGGAGAACGGCAGTGAAACAGCCTATTTAATTCTAAGATTAGAGAGAGGGAGAAAAATAGTCAGTTAAAAATTAATTAGCCTTTGTCTATAAAAAAAGTGGATTGTTCAGAAATCAAGACAAGAAGGTATTATAAGAAGACATTTTCTCACGTTCACAGGGGATAACAGGACTCCACTGTCCATTCTTCTGGCATGTGGCTTCATACTCAACCTCAGCTGATTCATGCTATGGAACATTTCATGCTAAATGTGAGTTTCAATGATTAAAAAAAAAATTCCCCTCATAAACTAAAGTACATGCTGATATATCATGCCGACTGATATCATATAACAGCAAAACATAATATCCAAATTTTAAAGCAATATGCATTTCAATTATATTTATTAAAATATAATTTCTTAATATGTGACCCTGGGACCGCAAAACCAGTCATAAGGGTCAATGTTTTGAAATTGTAGATAATATTAGGTTTATAGGTTATAAGATATAGGTTATAAGATTTATGCTGAAAGCTGAATAAATAAGCTTTCCATTGATTTATGGTTTGTTAGGATCAGACAATATTTGGCTTAGATACAACTATTTGAACATCTGGAATCAAAATGCTGAGAAAATTATTCAAAATAATAGAATAAAAAATCGAAATACTGAGAAAATCGCCTTTAAAGTTGTCCAAATGAAGTTCTTAGCATTGCATATTACTAATCAAAAATTAAGTTTTGATATATTTACGGTAGGAAATTTACAAAACATCTTCATGGAACATGATCTTTACTTAATATCCTAATGATTTTTGGCATAAAAGAAAAATCGATCATTTTGACGCATACAATGTTTTTTTGGCTATTGCTAAAAATATACCCAAGTGACTTAAGACTGGTTTTGTGGTCCAGGGTCACATATAATAATATTCTGTTAGATATGATCAATTTAACTGAATTATATTTCATGAGACTTTATTTACTAATATTATATTACAAATTTTAATAGATATTTAAAAGAACATTTTCTAAAATGTTTCTCAGCAAACCCATAACTTTAATCTGTGGCCCTTCAGCCTTAGAAGGTCAAATCAATCAGCCTGAAATACTTACTGATTTTAATACATATCCTTTGTCACATTTCACTGTAACTTTGTAGCCAATGGGATATTCAGAATGCTGTGGGTTCAGACTAGATTTTGGTGTCACGGGTCCAGTACATTTCATCCCTGTAAGAAAGCAAACAAACAACAACATAACATGTAAAGAAACAACTCTCAGCACTTTTCAATCAACCATCAATATTCAGATTAGTCACACATCAACATGAGTTTTTCGATGGAAGATTCTCAGATTATGTTGTCCCACCAATCCTGAACATGCAGTATATCCTTGTTTAGTGTTAAGGATGGGTTGGCAACAGGCACACCTCTCGTTTTGTAACTGAGACTAAACCCTCGGTTTGCTCCTTTATGGTCTGTCCTGAAGATAATCTCAACACGTTGAGACCTTGTGAGGAGGGATGGAGGGACATCCCTTCCGCAAAATGTCTTAATGTCACCATAGAGAGGTTTTATCTAGATGGAATGAATACAGAAGGAGAAAAGAGGTCAACGAGGAGAAATACAAAGAGAAAGAAACAATTAAATTGCTTCAAATTGCATTAAACATGTTGCATACAGTTAATGAGTCGATGCACTGTCCATTCTCTTTCTCCACATCAAATACCCCCCCAAATGTCAGTTCAAACTGCAGACCCTCTTCTACAGCCAGAGTGTAAGAACACAAAGAGCTTTCAGGGTACGGCTCGGGCCAGTCAGGTGACATCAGCACACCTTCTTGAGAGCCTGTGTGATCTTCACTGCAGCTAACTGACACACAGAGAGAAAACAAAAACTGTGTCACTGCTTTAGGGATTATGTATAAAATAGGTCTGTCAAGTAAATAAAAAATGAATCAACTTAATTACGTATGTCAAATTAAAGACATATATTGCATAACCAATTTAAAGATGTACGTTTCAAAAACATGTCAAAACTTGAAGACAATTAAGTACTGCAGCCGTGACGTCAAAACCCTGAAGGCTTATTTGCCACTGGTTCCCTCAAGATTGTCCTATGAGTTTTTATAATGTGTTTTTTCAGTTCATGAGTAAAGGCAGAGTCAAATGGACAATCACATTCTTTTTATTATAAGTGCATGCTGCAGTCATGTTGTCTGCCATGTTAAATGCTCAAGTTCTTGACTTCAGGTTGGCTTTCATTGTTTTAATCATTCATCACCTGGAAAAATCATTCTGAAAGTGATTCCAACAATATAGTTTCTCTGTGTCGTTATAGCAGTGTGGAGTTCCCTATTTCCATAGAATTACAATGATTATTAAAACTTTAGTCTTAGTTTAGTCTTGTTGCTATGCTGATTGTTTAGCACATTTGAATCTTTTTTCTTAGTGGAAGCATATACAAATTATGAAATTATTTGATTTCAAATCAATATTTCATGTCCATTTATATATTTACTTGTTAAATAGCTATGTAAAATGCGGAATAAAAAGAAGAATTATTTTGAATAATGACTGGTTGACTGTATTCCTTTCATAATTAATTGCACTAAATCAACAAGACAGCCAAAATACACGTTTCAAAATCTCATTCAACCACAACCATTCATCATTACCTTGGCAGGTGTGCTTATCAGAGTCAAGGATGTAACCTGGTCTACAGAAACAGCGATAACCTCCAATGTAGTTATTGCAGAGTTGGGTGCACTCATTTTCAGGGTCCTTACACTCATCAACATCTATAAGTCAGCAGAATTTGAGGTTACAACTTAGATCAGCAATAACCAATAACACTCTCAGTGATCCACAAATAATCTCATATGCTTTCT